GGCGATAGAAGAATAAAGACTATAGATGCTAAAAAAAGTTTTGACATTCGCTGCTCTAACTTTATAATCATAAGTTGTATTAATGGCTACAGCATTATCAGTATAACTCGTCGAACCTCCCGGAAGTGTTGCGATGAGAACATTATTTTTGTAAATCAAATTCTGATAGGTTTGATTCGTACAGCTGTTAGTAACCTCCCAGGTTTGAAACGGATTTTCCCATTCTAATTCTACCTGACCGCATACATTGTTTGATGCCGTCAGATTATCGGGCTTTTCGATGGTTTGCTGGTAGATAGGCGATGAGTAATGCGTACCGTTATCCGTTTCATCATCCTGTTGCTGATGGTTTGCCCAGGAATAGTCAAATCTGAATTCATAGGGGTACTTGATGTCAGAAGGACGGTTAACTAAAACTACCCTATTCAGGTAAACATCGGGTCTCGTACTAACATTAAACCGGGTTACCGATCCCGAAAAATAGTTGATCGCTCCTGCCGATCCTCCACCTGAACAACTATTCGCGTTACAATTGTTAGAATAACTATGAAAAACAACCCAATTGTTATTCACATCTTTATAGAAAAGATTTCCCGCAATCAGCCAATCATCATCACTGGAACCTATGTTTTGTACCGCGTAAATTATGGTGATATTTCCCGTACACTTATCTATTGTAAAACTGGTTTGATCGATACCGTATCCAAAAGATTTAGTACTCACAATGGCAAGTAAAAGGGTGAAATAAAAAGCTTTTGCAATTTTATTTAACCGCAGGTAAGCGCTAAGACTCAATAATTTTTTCATGGTATTCTCTTTTAATGTCTGATTTTATAAATACAAATGCCTCCATGGCATTAGCATTTTTTAACCATAACAATAGTAGAAGCAAGAGAAGCAGAAAACAATAGTAGTATTGTGCAAATTACAGGGTGGAAGTAAAATAAGTTCAGGACAGGTATCCTAGCCGTGTAGCCGTGAGAATGAGCTCTGCAGCATTTTTCACCTCCATTTTCTTAAATAAATTAAGTTTGATGTTTTCAATAGTCCTCAGCGAGACCTGCAGCTGTTTAGCAATAAGTTCGGAAGTTTGTCCAATGGCGATCAGCTTCATTATTTCAGATTCACGCTTGGTAAAGATCGCTTTTACGTTGGTTGTTTCGGGAATAAGCTCTTTATATTCATCGGGCACCGATACCAAATCATAATGCACATCTTTTATTGCTTCCAATAAATCTTCCGGCGGCTGATTCTTATTTACATAGCCTTTAACACCAATACTTAATAAGCTATCGATTAAAATTTCACTCCTCAGAGAAGTGTAGGCGATAATCTTCAGCGCATCATATTTTTTTAGTGCATTCAGGTACAATTCCAGG